GGTTCTCTGCCTAGGTAATGCCTAAGGCTTGTCATAAATTCATTTATTTATTGACTTGGAGGCAGTGGAGAGAATGGAGCCACCTGGAGCTGGATGGCCTGGGTTCACAATCCCAGCTCCATTACCAGCAAGGTGCCCATGGGCGTGTTTCCTAACCTCTCTGTGCCTCAGTTTGCTCGTCTTTAAAGTACAAACATCGTAAGTACCTCCAAAGGCTGTTACAAGGGTCAAATAAGCTAATGTACTAAAGCCTTTAGAGCAGGGCCTGGCCTGCACTGAGTGCCGTGTTTGCGTTCACTATTAGTGTTTGGTCCCGTGTTGACTGAGCGCCCACACTGCCCAGGTGCTGTGCTCGGCACCAGAGACTCGGCAAGGATGAGAGAGATGAGAGTTCTGTCCTCACGGAGCTTGTGCGTCAGTGGGGAGAAGGGGAGAAAGACAAGCAGACAGGTGGTCCAGCACAGCACGTTAAACATGTGGCCAGGGAAGGCTGACAGGTGTTGGGGACACTTGGAGGAGCACTTGGCCCAGGTGACAGGGACAGAGAATCCCACAGCTCACTGGCTGCTGAATTCTCATCCCGAGCCACGTGGTTATCTAAACTTCTGCTTTCTTTCTCCCAAGGAGAAGTAGTCAACTTTTCTGGATTGAATACTGCCCTTGTTCTTGTAGAAGCAGAAACTAGGATTGTAGACAGCCCCTAGGAGGTGCAAGGAAAGGGCACCGAGGACCCTGAATTGGGGCAGGAGGTGGAGGTTGTAGGCAAAATGGGAGCTCCACCAGGTAGTGGCTTGGTATTTCTCCCTAGAAAGCATTGCCCAGCCAGCATGTTCTCTTCAGCCAGCAAGAGGACAGAGTTCCCCGGCTGAGGGAGAAAACCTTTTTTTTGGTTTAGTTTAGTTTTTGCCTTAGAGCATGTGTGCTCACCCTCCAGGGAAGATAGTCACACTGCAGTCCCTTGTCCTCTATTCTCTTCTTGGGATTTTGGACACATATGCTCACACATCTAGCATGACTTTTCAGGGCCCTGGGTCTGGGACTCGAACCTCATAGTCACCTATGTGGGATCAGGCCACTTTCACCTCTATACCGCCTGGCTGGCTCAGGAGCAAATCTCTTTATGGAAAAGGTCCACACATCTCTCCAGACTAACGAATGCACCCAGGTCTTCTCGGCCTTCTGCAGGTGCCGGCGGCGGTTCCACTCTTGCTCCCCAATCTAAGCCCAGCTCTCTGTCACTCCCCTCCTGATACGGAGATCCTCTGCTGACCCTTGCTCTCTTGCCAGCTGGAGAGGTGGCAGTGCTGGCCTGCTGGTCCCTCAGATCTCTTCCTGTCTCTCCTCTCTCTCGGCAGTGGAAAGGATGCGGCCTTCTCAGTCAGAGGCCTGGGTATAGCCCTGGCTCAACACCAGCCAACTTTCTTGCCCTGGCAAGTAACTGAACCTCTTTGAGCCTCACTGTCCTAATCTATGAAATGGGAATGACGATCCCTGCCTTACAGAGTTACCATTGTGAGAAACAGCTGCCTTACCGCTCTGCAGCTTCCTGCAAATGTCATCCTCAGTCAGTGCTCTGTCATCAGCCTAGTGATTCTCTTTTTTTTAATTATTTTTATTTTTGTATTATTAATATTATTTAATTTGGCTAGAGAGAGAGAGAGAGAGAAAGGAAAAGTAAGATAGCAAGCTACCAGGTCCAGGACTTGAACTACAGCCAGCCATGTGGGAGTCCAGTGCCTTAACCATCAAGCCATCTGATGAGCCCTGCTTTGCATTATTCTATCCCATCTTCTGGCCTCCAAAGTGTTCTGAGTTTCTCCAAACAGCACCTTCTCCTTCCTCCTCTCTGTCCTCAGTCCATACCATGCCAGAGACACACACATTTCCCAGCCTCACTCCCTTCTCTCTGTCCCAATCTCCGCAACTCGGAATCCACATTTACAGCCACGCAAGCAGGTTTCTAGGCTAGCCCAGTCCCTGCGGTGGAACATGCAACCCACAGCAGGACAGTCCACAGCAGGGAAAAATGTTGGAACTTCAGTGTAGATTTTTTAGTCTTAAAAAATTTCAGCTTTCCTAATTTATGTCCTCACTTGGTCTGTTCATATGTCAGACTGTCACACGTCATGTCTGGCACACGATGTGTCCTTAGGGAAGAGCAGAAGTTCCAAGAAAATCCAGTGCCTCCTTACGTTTGTGTTTGGCATATTACGAGAGCACAACCCACAGCGCTCGGAGTCCTGGACTTTTCCAGTTGTTTATGTTGTCCACCGTGAACTCAACCAACCTTCGCAGAGTGGAAAGGTGTCTCTAAAAGCTCCTTGCAAAAAGAACTGTGGATTCAAAATAATACTTGGAATGCAACCTTATACAATTATTAAAAGGTGAGGTACTGGGCAGCCGGTGGTGTGGAGGCTAAGGTGCTGGATCCCATATGGCTGACTTCATGGTTCAAGTCCTGGACTTGGTGGCTTGCAAAGCACGCCATGTGCATGTGTGCCCAGTATTCCGAGAGGACTATGGCAGAGAAGGGATTGGGGCGTGGCCATCCCCCCGAGGGTGATTTCTCACTCCACCTTTCCATTTTCTCTCTCTCTCCAGTGAGTGCACATGCCCTGTAGCAAAACTAAAAAAAGGCAATACTGACCCTTCTCAGATGGCCACTAACATGTCATGAGCCACATTAGAAAGTAGAAATCATTACAGCATGTCAGATATGACCCAAAATGTACCCAAGGATCCAAATGATCAAGAATGCTGTATGAGGGACCAGCAGTTAGTGTAATGGCTATATCGCTGGACTCCCACGTAGTCGACTGCGGTTCGTGTCCCAGACCCGGTGGCTTAAAACTCATGTCAGGCGGGGAACCAGCAGTTAGCGTAATGGCTGGGTCGCTGGACTCCCACGTAGTCGACTGCGGTTCGTGTCCCAGACCCGGTGGCTTAAAACTCATGTCAGGCGGGGAACCAGCAGTTAGCGTAATGGCTGGGTCGCTGGACTCCCACGTAGTCGACTGCGGTTCGTGTCCCAGACCCGGTGGCTTAAAACTCATGTCAGGCGGGGAACCAGCAGTTAGCGTAATGGCTGGGTCGCTGGACTCCCACGTAGTCGACTGCGGTTCGTGTCCCAGACCCGGTGGCTTAAAACTCATGTCAGGCGGGGAACCAGCAGTTAGCGTAATGGCTGGGTCGCTGGACTCCCACGTAGTCGACTGCGGTTCGTGTCCCAGACCCGGTGGCTTAAAACTCATGTCAGGCGGGGAACCAGCAGTTAGCGTAATGGCTGGGTCGCTGGACTCCCACGTAGTCGACTGCGGTTCGTGTCCCAGACCCGGTGGCTTAAAACTCACGCCGGGCGCGTGTGCGTGCGTGCCCAAGATCCCGAGAAGAGAATGGAGGAGAAGGGATTGCAGCACAGGCATCCTCCAGGGATGGGGGAGTGATTTCTCGCTCTCCCCAACCTTGTGCCACTAGGAGTTAAAGCCAGAGAAAACCAATGACCGCAGGACATCGTCACGCAGCTGACTTTAAAACCTTTAAAGCATACTGATATCGTTCCATGGGCTAAGGTCTGGGAATACTGCTCGTACTGAGAACTGCTGGCTATCTCTTGGCAAAGGAATTAGCAAACCTAAAATGAGTAGTTTCTTCTTCTCCTCCTCCTCCTCCTCCTCCTCCTCCTCCTCCTCCTCCTTCTTCTTCTTCTTCTTTTAACAAAAAGTTGGTACTACACATTCGTTGCTCTTTTTCAGGTGGCTGTCAGAGCTGTGCTACCTGCTAGAGCTTTTCAAGGTTGATACACCAGTCTGTCACATCAGAGTAATAGAGATATTTTCCCTATTTTAATTTAATGTCAGTTGTTTAGGTTTTTAATCTCTGTAAAGTCAGGGAGAAATGTGAAATCAAGAACAGATGTGGGGGCCAAAAGGTGACATAGTGGTTAAGGTGCTGGACTCCCATGTAGTCAAGCGCAGTTCAAGTCCTGAACCCAGCAGCTTAAAACTCATGCCAGGTGTGTATGCATATGCATGTCCAAAATCCTGAGAGGAGAATGGGCTGCAGTGTGGCCATTCCCCCCCCCGGGGGGGGTGATTTCTTGTTTTCTATCTCTGTCTCTCCAGCAAGCACACACACCCTATAGCAAAAATCTCTAAAAGGAAGAGAAAGAAAGAAAGAAAGAAAGAAAGAAAGAAAGAAAGAAAGAAAGAAAGAAAGAAAGAAAGAAAGAAAGAAAAGAAAAGAAAAGAAAAGAATGGATTTGTGGGGCCACTAGAGAGTGTGGTAGTTTAAGGTGCTGGTCTCCCACATGGCTGACCAGGGTTCAAGTCCTGAACCTAGCAGACTGAAAATCACATCAGGCATGTGTGCATGTGTGCTCCAAATCCCAGGAGGAGAATGAAGGAGAAGGGATTGCAGCAGGGCTGTCTCCCCTGGAGGGTAGTTTCTCACTTTTCCTCTCATTGTCTCTCTGTCTCTCTCCAGGGAGCACATGTGCTTTGTGGCAAAAATCTTAAACAAAAAAGTTACTCTTTTAGTGACTTTCAAGTATGCAATACACTGTTATGTTATTAACTACAGTCACTGAGAGCTTTTGAGGTTACTTCTCCCGACTAACTGAAGTGTTGTACCCGCTGACCAGCATCTCCCCACTCCCACTCCAGCCTGACCTCGGTAACCACCATCCCACTCTGCATCTCCAGCTCACCTTTTGTAGATCCTGCATATGAGGGAGCTCGTTCAGTATTTGCCTTTCGGTGCCTGGCTTACTTCACTTGGTATCTTTTTAATAAAAGCCTCCTTTTATTAAAAGGTTTCTAATAAAAGCTGAGAGGAGCCTGGCGAGAGCAAGGAGGCACAGCTGTCCAGGGTGAAGGCTTGGGGGTTGGGGGCCCACAGCTGCTGAGCAGGTTGGACATCCAGTCTGCACCCTGCTTCCCAGCACGGGTGACAGAGGACCCCGAGAGCCCTCCAGTGAGCCCTGTCATATCTTCACTCCTCAGCCTCCCCAGTGATTGAAAATGGCCAGCTGGAGTGTCCCCAGGGGTACAAGAGACTGAACCTCACTCACTGCCAAGGTAAGGGTGACCTGTGCCAGGGCTTGGGGAGGGAAATGATGAAATCAGCTGATGCAGGGGCACACCTGCCCCCCAGATGGGAGGAGTGGCCATCGCTACCTGTGTGTTATCCACCTCTAAGCCCCAGCCTGGGGGAGCCACAAGGCCTGCTGGTTCCAGGGGCCTAGGAAAGTCAGGGACTTGCTTGAGAATGACAGAGGGAGCCACGGTACTGAGCCCTTCTCGCCATCTTCCCCACTCCCACCTAAACATGGCTCAGGTGCCTCTTTGGGGCTGTATGGTGCCGCGTCTGAAGGTGTCACCCCAAGCCACACATCCACTCACCTCCTGGGCTGGTCTCCCCGGAACAGAGGGATTCTGACTCTAAGGTACAAGATCAAGTCAGCCCGAGGGGGTAGGAACCTCTGTGGAATCTTCCCAGCAGAGCCCCTTGAGCTGCCCGGCCCTCCCTCCCACGTGCCTCACCCCATAGCCAGGAAGGAGCAAGCAGAGGGCACAGGCGACAGGCATGGGGGACCATGAGGTGCAGTCACAGCCTTGACCTTGCTGGCCTGGTTGATGGGTTCTGTAATGACAGCCGTACCTGTGGTGGTCTATATTCGAGAGCCCACCGAGGGCCAAGCCCAAGGCTCCTTGGACAGGATAAGAAGTGGGGCTCAGGCATAGTTTTGTCACTGCTAGGGTCAACTGGGGGCAAGGAGTGGAACCAGGATGATGGAGGGCCAGGAGCCTTCTCTGAACAGACCCAGGCTCTGAGCAGGAGCCCTGGCTGACAGGGGGCCTGGCAATAGGTGTGATAGGAACGGGGCTTCCTGCCAGAGGGAGGCTCCTGGGGCTGGCGCAGCTTGTGGATAAAAAAAAGGTGCTTGGGTCAGCCCAAAGGGCACGCCTCTGGTCAAGTCTAGCCTGGGGTCAGATACCCTTAGGCATAGTGGACAATGGGTGTGGGGAGAAATCTGCAGTTTTGCCCTTGGAAGAAGCATCAGGACTATTCAGATTTCCCTGTCTGGAGCTTTAAAGTTATTTTCAGGATCTCAGATGATTTCTCTGCCCTTCTTCCACTGAATCCCCAGGATATAGGCCTCCTAATGTACCTCCCGTGTTTGAAAAACTGCACAAGCAACCTCTGGTCTTGGGGCAACGTGAGCAGCCTGCCTGGGGATGTGGAGACATGTGCTCCTGGATCATTCCTCTGCTCACCCTGGCTGCAGCCCCAGCCCCTCAGCATCAGCCTCTGGCCTCCCACCTCCTCTTCCTTGCAGGGGTCTCTGCTGCACCAGCTCAGTTTAAACATGTTCCCCAGCATCATGGGCCCTGCAGAGGTGCTCCAGGGACCTCCGAGGAAGGCTGGATAGGAGGGCCCTGGCTGCCCATTGGCCACTCTCCAGCCCAGACAGCTCCCTTGACCTGTTTCCTGTTGCATCCCAGCATGCCACTTAGCTGAGTGACTCTGAGCAGGTTTCTCCTGGAGCCTCAGTTTCTTCACCTATAACATGAGGACCCATGAGCCTCTCTGATAAAGCTGACTGTGAGAATTAAATGGGCTATCGTATATTAAATGCCCAGCCCAGTATGTGGCATATAAAAGACACTCAATAAATGGTAGTTCTTAATATTATCATTATTACTACATGCTAGTTATTGGACCAGGTGGTTTGCCATTTTTATTTACTTTATCCTTCTAGCAAGACTATCATCCTCACTTTACAAAAGAGGAAACCGAGGCACAGAGCTCACCAATGGCAGCTCTCTTGTCGTTTTATTTGGAGAAAGTATCTGAAGGTCTCTGCCTAGCCTCTCCCCTCCGCCAGGCCTCAGTGGGGCAGGCGCCTGGTCATCTCCCCCAACCCCACAGATATCAATGAGTGCTTGACGCTGGGCCTGTGCAAGGACTCGGAGTGCGTGAACACCAGGGGCAGCTTCCTGTGCACGTGCAGACCTGGCCTCATGCTGGATCCATCTCGGAGCCGCTGTGTGTGTGAGTGCTGGTAGGACCGGGGCCAAGGAAGGCTGGGAGGTAAGGTGGGACCCTCAGGTCCACAGGCAGGCCCAGAGCAATGATTTCACCCCTTGCCCAGGGCCAGTGTTCATATTCCATCTGCACTGGGCCTAATGTATGAAACTGATCTGCCCATGCTGTTAAAACAGAGGCAGCACAGGGGCAGGTGTGGAGCACACTGCTCCCCGCTCAACCCCAGGCACACACGAGGCCTTCAGTAAACATCGTAGACTCAGCATCTGGAGACTAGCAGCTCCATCCTCTCCTGCTCTCAGGCTCTACCCATGAGGGTGGGATTCAAGGGTCTCATCAAACAGATAACATGAGGAGAAGCTAAAACATTCCCCTACAGCTACCGTCCTAAGGTTCTATGAGCATTTCCAGGGCCCCAAGCCTCCACACTGAGTCCTGGCAGGCCAGTCTGCATGTGGCTGGCCACACCCCCAACACTGTGCGCCCTTCTGTGCTTTTCTCGCCTGCTGGCCACCTGCCCATTCCCACATGCTGTGTCTGTTGCAGCGGACAAGGCCGTCTCCATGCAACAGGGACTGTGTTACCGGTCACTGGAGTCTGGCACCTGCACCCTGCCTTTGGCCCAGCGAATCACCAAGCAGATATGCTGCTGCAGCCGTGTGGGCAAAGCATGGGGCAGCGAGTGTGAGAAGTGCCCCCTGCCAGGCACAGGTAACCCCCCTCTCCATCCCAGCTCTGACCACCGAAGGGCTTCCTCAAAGGCAGTGGCCATGTTCCCTGGCCTTGGGTAGGCCTCCCTCAAGCAGAAGAGTCTTCGTGTTCCCTCCTTGCTCATGTCCTTTCCCAGCCTGAGGGTCCTTTCCTCCTTGCTGCTACAGCTGTCTTATTCCCCAGAGGGAGGAAGGGAGGGCCCGGTTTCCTGCAGAGGCAGTGTCTCTCATGTCTCCTGGCCATTGGCTTTACAGAGACCTTCAGGGAGATCTGCCCTGCTGGCCACGGCTACACCTACTCAAGCTCAGACATCCGCCTGTCCATGAGGAAAGCAGAGGAAGAGGAACTGGCCAGGCCCTCGAGGGAACAAGGACAGAAGAGCAGCGGGACCCAGCCTGAGCCAGCAGAGAGGCAGCCCCTCCGGGCAGTCACTGACACCTGGCTTGAGGCCGGAACCAATCCTGACAAGGGTATCTGGACTGGGAAGGATGCCTGAGGGAGGCCCCTTTCCCTA